TTGATTGAATGAGGGGGCTTTTGCACAGGACCATCATGCAACTGAGGATGGTGAGAGAGGTGACTACTTTCAGGCCCAGTAGTGGTCACAGCTTGAACTGCAGGACTCCAGAGTGTATCTGAAGGAAAAAATGATTTACTATACCTACAAATAAGAAAAAAAAAAGCAGAATATAAAATAGTAAGTTGTGTGAAGGCCACAGACTTTAGCCTGGAATTAAATGGGACGGGAAGGGGTGGATGTTTCTCCAACTGATAATCGGAGACTCAAATTCAGACCATTTTTCTTAGCCAGAGGCTACCTGAGCTATGCCTCAGGGGACCCTGGCCTCACAGAGGGTGAGAAGACACAAACACAGACCTGAAACCAGGAAAAGACATGACCTACATGCCAGCTTGGGTGTAGATCTGAGATGTCATCAGCATCACTCTCTGAGTCCTGTATCAGCTGTTTGTGCCATTGCAGTAACAAAACGCCTGACTAAAGCAACTTGAGGAAAGATTCGTCTGGGGACACAGTTCCAGTCTAAGATGGCTGGGGAGTCATAACAGTGGGCACTGAAGATCTGCTCACACTTTGTTGGTAGCCAAAAAGCAGAGGAGGTGAATGAATGTGTGTTTCCAGCTAGCTTTCTCTTTTTTTAATGCATGCTAGGACCCAGTTCCAAGGAATAGTGGTGCCCAGTTTTAGGATGGGTCTTCCCTATTCTGCTAACTTAATCAAGATAATACCTCACAGGCCTGGCTAGAGGCTAACATAATCTATTAAATCCTTCACAGTCATGATCAAAGATTCGTCTCTCTGCTCTTGTATCTGTTTCTCTAAATCTAATTGGTTCTGAACTGTGGAATACATTTTTTTTAGACACAAATGCAATGCTTTATTATTAGAAGTGTATTATTACAGGGGAAAATCTCCACTAAGTAGCCACCAGCCCTCTGCTGCATCCTGTCAGGAGTGGGACAACGTAATCACGGTAACCCAGTTTTCTTCTTTAAAAGCATACTGTAACAGGTGAGGCAGGCAGTCTATAGTCCTAACACTTGAGAGGCTGAGGCAGGAGGAGCTCAAAATGCCCTAGGCAACATAGTGAGACCCTCCACCCAAACATGACAAAGGAAAATGAACACAACAACCATAGAGTGTGCATATGTTTACATGCATGTCTGCTTATTTATGTGCAGATAGAAGTCATAGGATAACCATGGAGTGTTGCTTTCAGGCACCATCCACCTTCCTTCCTTCCTTTCTTTCTTTATTCCTTTTTTAACTTTTGGTTTTTTGAGACAGGGTTTCTGTGTAGCCTTGGCTCTCCTGGAACTCACCCTGTAGACCAGGCTGGCCTCATATTCAGAGATTCCCCTGCCTCTGCCTCCCAAGCGCTGGGATTAAAGGCATGCATCACCACCACCCGATATCCATCCACCTTTTTCTAAGACAGGATCTCTTATTGGCCTGGAACTCACCAATCATGTGTACCTGGCTGCCCAGTAAGCCTGAACAGATCTATCTGCCTCTGCCTCCCCAGAACTGAAAATACAAGTATTCGCCACCAACCCCATCTTTTTATCCTTTTATCTATTTATTTTTTAATGTGGGTTCTGGGTTTTAAACTCGGGTCCTCGTGCTTGCAAGGCAAGCACTTTACCTATTGAGACATTTCCCAGCCCAAATCATCCATATTTTCAGATGAAATGAAGATGTGTTTTACCAGCTGCATACAATTGTGGATTTTTATCCTTCATGTCTTCCTCAGGTAGTCTAGCTTCCTGTCCTGTAATGCATTATGCCAGTTTTGCCTTATGGTTCATACTCACTCCTGTCTGCCTGGGACACTAACCGTCTTATAGTGCAATGGTTCCCCCAAGCATGCATCTTAAAGTGATTCAGGACCCTGCTTTTTTCTTATGGAAGCCAGAGATGGGGGCATTCCCTCTGCTCACTTCCTAACAGCCAGTACACGGTCATGTTGCCAATTGGAAGCTCCTGGTTGGGTTTTTAATATGGAGAAAATAGAGTTACAGTCCAGGACTATTCATGGATGCAGGGAAGAGTCCAGCAGCAGAGACCACAAGTATGCAGTGGAGGATGTGCCTGGGGAGGCACTGACTAGCTGGTTCTTTTGGTGTGACCACGGTTCTGCTCTTTGTTGCAGCCTCCCTTAGCTCTTCTGTGTTTTTTTTTTTTTTTTTTTTTTTTTTTTTTTTTTTTTTTTTTTGTGATAACCCCAGAAATCAGCTGGTAATCCTGCAACAGATCCCTATCTTGACTATGTCAGCTAAAGTCTATTTGTTGTGCACCCATGAGCCTGGATTGAAATATTTCCTTTCATTTTTTTTTAAGATAATGACTGTAGTCTGTCTCAGGGATCCATTTTTTTTAACCCAGCATTATGAAGGCAGCTTAGGAGTGTTAATGCTGATTTGTCTATGAGGTAATTCTAGATCCTCTCAGGTTGATAATCAGTATAACTATCCCGGTCCTATGCTGCCTTCATAATACTTCGTTCAAAAAAGAAATGGATCCACAGCCCAGAACCAATTAGATTTAGAGAAACAGATACAATGAGAGCAGAGAGAGAGAAAGAAAGCAGGGCACAAACAAACCACAAAACAATTTCCACTTAAAATAAGCCTGCAAATCAAAATTATGAAGCCTAAGCTTAAAATATCAGAACATACTTTCCCTGAAAAGGAAAATTAATTTTAATATAGTGTGACAAATTGCTTAAAATGTGAAATCTCAAAGAGACAAGAGACTGGGAGCCATTGTGGGACAAAACAGGCATAAATGAAGCAAAAGCAGATGAACATTCAACATAAGAAACTGGAATGCTTGGAAACAAAAATGTGGCCCTAGTTATTTCTAAAATGCTTTCTAGAGGCACTAAAGAGACACCAAGTAACTCATGGGAATCCTAGGGAGGAATTCATTCCATATGCAACACAGAAAAACAGTTTAAATATTCAAGTTTTGTCCTAGGCATACAATATGCACCCCAGAAAACGAGTGCAAAGGAGCACAGAAAAACAGCATAAAGTGCTGAAAATCAAGTCACCAGCCAGGAAATCCCCAGAGGAAAAGACAGAAAGATTTGCATTGGAAGTTGACTCTTGATTCCAAAAGACAAATAAAAACAAACCCCACTGGGAACTCTGTAACCTGTCAGGATACAAAGAATAAAATTAAGTCTTAAATGTGCCAGAAAGAAAGGACAGGTTAACTTAAAAGGAGGTGGGGGAAGAAAAAAGAGGGGGAAAGGAGTGGGAAGAAGAGGAGAGAAGGGACGAGGAGAACAGGTACGGGACTTACCAGAAACAACGCTAAGTGCTACAAAGCAATGAGGAAAACAGTCTCCAGTGTACTGAAGGAATGAAACAACAGTCATGTCTAGGTAAGCTACAGTTTAAGTGATGGTGGAAGAAAGGACACACAAGACTAAGACTGGAACATGCCCTTAGAATCTGCTTTTACTCAACAGCGCTGAGTCCTCGCTTGAGCCCCAAGGTAACTATGCTGGTCAATTTTTGTCAACTAACTAGAGATGCCAGAGAGAAAGGATCCTCAACAGAGGGATGTCCCCATTAGAATGCCCCATGGGCGAATCTATAGTGCATTTTCTTGATCGAAGATTGATAATGGTGGGCCCAGAGGACTGTGGGCCTGGTGTGTATAAGCAGGCTGAGAAAACTATGGAGACCAAGCCAGTAAGCAGTGTTCCTCCAAAGCCATTGCTTCAGTTCCTGCCTCCAGGTTCCTGCTTGAATTCCTAGCTGAGCTTCCCTCAATGATGGGCTGTCACTTAGAAGTGCCAGTCAAATAAAACCCTTTCCTCTACAAGTTGATTGTGGTTGGTGTTTTATCTCAGCAACAGAAAGGAAACTAGGATTGTGAGTAAAAGCCAGGTGACGTCCTGGTACCATCACCTTCCTTTTGTATCCACACTTTGAAGGTATAGAGACTGTTAATGCCCTTAACCTTTCCTGTTGAGTCATCCCAGATGAGGACAGCTATCCATGAGGGCACCATCCTACCCTCATTTTTAACAATTTGACAGTGTATTCCACCATCTTGCAGAACTAGAGCCGAGACGATGCAGTGCTGAAGGTTGGTAGGAGTACACCTTGATCAGGACTAACCCAATTATACAGACTCCTTGCCTTGTATTTAAACCCAAACCCCACATCAGTACCCAAAGTTTGACTTGGGGTCATTAGAATACCGTTTGCTCCTTTTCCCAACACAACTACACCAAATAAATAAATCATCTTTCCCTGCTTTTCACTATAACTTATCTCTTTACCTGATGTATTGGCTCAAGTGGCCATGTTTTACCCTAAAGCCTCAGGTTGCCAAACTATTGATAATACACACAATGCCATTGAAAGAACCAACCACCACTCCCTAACCATGCCTTGCCTTGACATCTCTGCCTTCACTTTGTATCCATTCTTCAGCAGTTCCCCACCCCTACACCAGCCTACCACATTCTCACCCTGCCTAAGTCATGCTTTGATCCTTACTGGCCTGGGTCTCCATACTCTCATGTTGTGGGCATCAAGCAGTTGTAAAGTCTAATCCTCACTACCTGAGGCCAGCTGGTCACACTGCAGCTTAGAGTGTCTACTCTTTACACCCAGTACAAAACCTGGGGCAGTTGAGTCCTGGAGGCTTGGAGGAGAGCAACCTCATTATCCTTCATGCAATTGAATTTGCACAGGGCAGGGGTACAGTCAAGAAATATGTGACCCTGGGAGGAGGAGAAGAGTTCTACAGCCTAGGCAAAGAGATGTCGGGGAGGTCAGAGTTCCAGAAAGTACTGCTATAACTCACCATCTTAAAACGTCTCCCTCTTTCCCTTATTGTGTATGAGAGACAGAGACAGAGAGACAGAGATGGAAAAATGTGATCACCAAGAGTTCATAGTTGCTCAGATGTGGTTTCCCTCAACACACATCTGGATTCAGGAGCAGTTAGTACAAAGACACTGCTTTCTAATATGCTTGGATAATACGGCTTTAATAGACATCCCATCTAGCTAAGAATTACTTCCACTTGTGCTGTGACATTACAATGGCTAGGGCATCACACCACAGGGATGTATTGACCCTAAGAACAGATGTCCATAGTTTCCCTGGTGAGAGCTGCAATTCTCCACATTCCGTCCAGTAGCCCGCTCTGTGCCGGACATGCAGGAGCCGCCCTCTTTTCTGCTCTGGGTTTGTGTACTTCTGTGGGGGTGGAGCTTGTCCATGGAGATGTCTGTAATAATAAAGAACTGTTTTATGGTAGGCCTGAAGGCTTCTTGACCAATTTAACAGCCTATTAATACCACCTAAACACTTCTAAAAAGACTTCACAGAAACAAAAAGTTAACTTAATTTTCCTGAAGCACTGGGTAGGTAGAAAGCTGAAAACTCCAAATATGATAGGAACCAAAGGCAGTTTTAAAGACTGATGGGAACTACAAGCACATTCATCTCTGAAGCCAAGTAACTTGAAAATCATAGTATATTTTAAAAAGAATTAAAACACACACCGTATTTTAACAGACATTGTGACAATTCTTCTTTTATTTGATTAGAAAGAAAATACACAAAAGGACAAAGAGAAAATTTTCAAGCATTTTAGCCTCACCCTAGAGATAGCCACTGTTAATTTTTTTTTTTAAAAAATACTTTTTATTTTTCTTTGGCAATTTCATGCATGTATGAGACGTATCTTCATAATCTACATTGCCAACTCTCCCTTCCAGCCCCCCCCCAATACATCCCACTGTGTCTTCTTTTAATGTAACACATTAGTCCATTGACTGTTGCCCCCTAGAATGCTGAAGGATCTCATTGGCTTGATCTTATGGGAGTGAGTACTAGTGAGTTTATGCCATGTCTAGCAGACATTTCACACACACTTTTTCATTCTATGGCATTTGCATTCTTTCTGCCCTCCTCTTCTGAGATAGTTCCTGGGCCTCGATAGAGTTGATACAGATGTCCCATTTAGGGCTGAGCACTAAACAGACTCCTATTCAAATCACTTTGACAGTTATGAAACTCTGCATTAACTGTTGCCCACTGCAGAAAGAAGCTTCTAAGACTGAGAAAACCACTAATCTATGGGTATAAACATACATATTTAAAAGGCAGTTTGGCAACATATTCATTTAACAAAATAGTAGTAGATTTCCCCCTCTGAGTCTTTGGCATATCAAGCCATAGGCTTTTGACCAGGTTTACAATACCAGGCATGGATTTCTTCCTATGGAGCAGGCCTCAAACCCAATCAGAAAGTTGGTTAACTCCTAACAATCAGGCCATTATTGCACCAGAGGGCACATCTTTCCTGACAGGTCTGTGTTGCATGCTATTGAGCTTTAGAGTCTACAGTTTTGTAACCTGATGTGTTCTCTTAAAATGCATGAGATAATATATCATAGTTTTCTTATGAACTTTGTTGCTGAAGCTGTTTGGGGGATGTTTCCTCAGGGTGGATATGATCATTGTTGTCTTGAAGCACAGCTGCTATGATCCTTTATGGAAGGAGTGACGCTCCCCATGCCCTGCCCTCCATTTCTCAAAGACAAATAAGTAGCCAAAAAACTGAGAGGAAAAGACTCTGGTGGCATAGCTGCCACCATCATTCTGTACAGTAACCACAATGGTTTGCAAAACTAGTTGCATAGCAATCACTTCTTCCTTGTGGCTGGGGCGAATAGAGATAGAATCCCAGGAAAAGCAATAACAAAAGCATTACATTGTTTTAGTAGGATTCCATTGTGACAATGTAGCATCATTTGCTTATCTAATTCTCTACTTTAGGGAAATTTGACTGGCTCAATTGTTCACTATGACAAATGTTGCAAAAGCCATACTTCAGCAATCCTTGTGCACATCTTGGATAATCTTTGAAAGTATTTTGAAAAGTGTTTTTCTTCTAGAAGGCTAGAGGAACTAACTGGGGTGATAATTTGAGTGCCAATTTTCTTCTCACAGTCTCTGCATTCCCATTCAGGTTCACAGAAGTGTCAATTACTTGAATTGCTGATGCTCGTGGGTAAGCAGGCAGTGTTTCCTAATGGACAGGCTAGCGATCAGTGAACACTTTGTTTCCACTTTGAAACACTAGAGTTGTTTTTACCATTTCCATCAAAACAGTTTTAAAAACACACCCTGACAGGACTCTCATGTTAACTGTTAGATACAGCTGAAATCCATTTTGATGCATTTAACTTGAGATTCAGAGCTGCTATTTTAGGACTTTTAATAGCTACGTCTGCCCCATGCCAATGCCGATTCATTAAACTTTATCAGATCTGGGGTGGGTGGGTGTTTTAATTATTCCCAGGATTGACCCTGTAGAGTTCTGCAGTCCTTAAGTTTTAGAGAAACTTGATGAGCATCTTAGCATACAGTGCAGTCTACTTAGCATGAGTCAGAAGAAAAGACACCGTTGGCTTACAAACTACCGCCCTTCTATTAACAATTCCACTTAAATCCAGGCAGAAATGAAGTCACTCTGGACCAAAGCCCAAGAACTCAGTGACCTCAGCACACAAGATCTCCAGTTAGGGAGCATTGCCTAATAGTCTCTCTTCACAAGAAATGAGTTTCAAACCCTCCTGGACAATAATGAAAGGGCTCAGAGTTAAATAACTAAAGTAGAGCTGGTGGCAAGGGAACGGTAGAATTTCTCAGTTGATATGTCCTAGAAGAATAATATATAAATGTAGAATTCTAATAAATAAGTGTTCTCATGGTTTTATTCACCACTTAAAGGGGGGATGGTATGAGTTTTTCACAGAAGACCCAACTACTGGTGAAGTAGATTTGATGGATTAAAAGCAAATCTTTTCTGCAAATGCACAGCATTCCTCTGTAGCAACTAAAAACAGTTTATGGCCGATGGCAAAAGCAACAGATCTTGAGATATATCAGATTTCCTGACTGAAAAATAAAACTGAAATGGGCAAACCCGAAAGTCTGGGATGCCCAGGTCAATTTCCAATATATTTAACATCCCTGATTCCAGAAGAATTATAATCAGTCTTTAATAAGGTTGATTCAAGAGCAGTGACATAGAACTTGTTATCCGTGGCACTCTCCACAATCATGGCTTGTTTTCTCATAACCCTCTGTCACTCGATTTGTAAAAAGTCAGATAAAGCTGCCTGAGCTCATTAAATAGCTCATTGGAGTTCAGCCTCAGGATGCCAGAGAAAGAAAGGGCAGCCTTCAAAAGAGCTCACAGAGGGACCTGGAGGATAAAGAGTTTGTGTTGAGAGCTTGGGTGGGGGTGGGGGGCACAAGTCTGACCACACCCTCTTCTTCCACAGCCAAGCCAGAACAGCGCTTGAGGAACACAGTGGCTGCACTGCGAGAGACTAAGCTCCCTCGCTGTCTCTTTGTTATAATAATTTTCAAATGAGGTGGCCTTCCAGCATCCATGTGTTCAGTCAAGGTGAACTGGAGCTGGAAAGTTAGGGGAAGTGCCTGGGGTCCGTGTCGGGGTACTGTTTAAGCTGTGAGGAAAAAGCATGGGATCAAGACCTTATAAAGTGAGTCTGGGCTTACTGCCAAGACTGGGGAGGCTAGAGGAATGGCGTTGGACTTGTAAAGAGTGTAAATAACCAGATGATAGGACCCTGTTGCCTAAACCAGCATAGAGGAGATGGAACCACAGGAGCTATACACTTATAGCAGTAATAAACAGCACTGGTATTTAGAGCTGTCACACCAGCCTGATCATCCTTTTTTCATGTCTGTCCAGGGACTCCACCAGATCTAAGCACATGTAATCTCAAGAGGACTGGCGTCTGAAAGAGTGCAGTCCCTGAGGCATAGGGCCCAATAAATAAACCACCAGTGAAGAAGACGCTTACCCATGTGTGGCACTGTGAGCCTCACTGATCAGCAGGGCTTACTCTGTGGGCTCTGCTTTTTGGGGGACCTGAGGAGCCTACAGGGACACAGAATCTGGAACCATTCCTGGAGAAAGGGAGACTTGGGAGAAAGAAGTTGAGCTGTTCTCGTGAGTCACTGATGAATAGGCACGTCTCAAGCCCAGATGGAAAAGAGATGTCAGAAGTGTTGAGAAGCATTTGCTGCTGGCCAGTCCTTCCTTCGCTTTGTAGGGAGACACATGCCATTTCCAGAGGGAAATTTTCCAGTCTAATAAGGCTACCATTCCCAAATCCAAGAGTCAGTCAAATGGGCGACGCCTGAAACCAAACTCTCCCAGACCCCGGATTTCCAGTGCATAATTTATCCTTGAGAAAGAGTTCTACTTTGGGGAAATACTGCTTGGGTTTGCAAGTAACCTGGAACATGAGTCTCATTTCACATTCAATCTCACAGCTCCTTTCATTGCTAACAAACCCACCCCATGAGCTCCTACTGCAGCCAAGGCCAACAATTCTTCGGTGTTAGTCCTTATAGTGGCACTTTAGCAATGCTCATTCTTACACCCACAGTGGAAGCCTGTGTCCTGAGAGCCCTGGGCCCTGGATACAGCAGCATCAACTATGAATCTATCAATCTGAGTTGTCTTGTTCACTAGCCCATTTGGCAAGACAAGTGGTATGTCTTAGGATTTCTATTGCTGTAATAAAACAACATGACCCAAAGTAACTTAGGCAGGAAAGGGTTTATTTCATCTTACAACTTGTAGTCTATCCTCCAGGGAATTCAGGTCAGGAACTTGGAGGCAGGAACTGAAACAGAAGAAATAGAGAATGCTGCTTACTAACTTGTTTTGTTCCTTGTGGGTAGTTCGGCCACAGTTTCTTAGAGAATGTAGAACCATCAGTCCACCATCTACAGTGACCTGGACCCTCCAATATCAATCATCAACCAAGAAAATTCCCTACAGGCCATTCTGGTGGGGGCATCTTCTCACTTGAGGCATCCTCTTCCCAAATGACTCTTGCTTATGTCAAGTTGACATAAAACTAGGCTGTAGTAGTGTTTCTTTGTCAGGACCACCAGGCCACAAATAATGACATGGAGATTTATTGCCAGTCATGAAAGCTTGTACTTTAGCTTAGGCTTATTTCCAACTAGCACTTATAACTTAAATTAACCCATATTTTCTAATCTGTGTTCTGCCATGTGGCTTGTTATCTCATCTCTGTATTGCATGTCCTGTTTCCCCTACATCTTGCTGGTAAATATGCCTTTCCTCTTCCCACAGTCCTCTCTCTGCCCGGAAGTTCCGCCTACTCTCTCCTGCCTAACTATTAGCTTTTCAGCCCTTTATTACACCAATACATCTTCACACCGTATACAAATATCCCACAACACTAGCCAAAGTGCTTCTCATTTCTCTCTGCTCAGCGAGTCTACTGTAAGCCTCAGGGGGTAAGTGAGGAAGTTGGAGGTACCACCAGAGATGGGTCAGAAGTTTACTAGATCTTGGGGTTAAGCCTACAAGTTAGCTAAATGCTAACTTGAGGTTTGGGAATGGGGGAGCAAGACCATTGGTGGTACAAAGAGCTTCAGATAGCTCCCTCTCAAGGCTCTTAAACAGCTGGGTCACAGGGTGAAACTTTTCCAGAATGTTCTACACTTCAAGCTGCCATCTTGGTCATCCATGAATTTTGGAAAAAACCCAGAAAAAGAAAATGACTTAACCAAACAAATGTAGCAAATGGGGGAAGGGCACTAGGGGATGGGTGAGTGAAAGGCAAAGAACAAGTAGGAACAATTTAAGGAAATGATAGGAAAAGCAGAAAGAAGGACTGAGAAGACAGTTTAGCTGGTAAACTATTTCAAGTATAAACTATTCGTACCATACTTTATGAAATATTTCATTTTCTCTTTGCTTGGGATGCTGGGAATTTAACTCAGGGCCCCATGTGTGCTAAGCACACTCTTTGGTTGGCGAACTATTCATCTAGCACTGTCCAAATATACTAACAAAAGGCTTTGCATTCATAGAAAGTATTGTGTTACCTTTCATGGATGGAGACGTGAAGGGCAAGGACCGAGGTGTCCATGCCCCCAAACACTGGGTAAAACAGATTTTCCCAGCCCTCATTTGTCATCTGGCCCTTAATTCATGAAAGCAGTTGCACTGCAATGTTATTCTGGGGTTGTTCCGGCTCATCAGAACAACTGACGGAAAGCAATTATGAAATGTGAGAAGATAGGAACTTTGGAAATCACTGAGATCAAACTCCTTAACTTCTCCATATTTCCAGAGACCGAAGCACAGTACAGGGACATAAAAAGGTTTAACCAGGATCATGTGGCTGCTCGTGGAAAGTTGGGACCCAAGACAGATGTTTTGATTTCTAGGCAGCCGACTACTCAAAGATTTCCTTCTTTGGTTTCTTATTTTCATACTCTACTCAAGGTAGTCCACATTCCAAATGGGTGAAATGTGACCCAAAGCTCTGGTTTCTCTCTTTTGGAGTGTTTTAGGTTTTTGTTTTGGTTTGGTTTTTTTGTTCTATCTGTTAACCATGAGGAATTGAATTTAGTCAAGTACATTGAAGTTGTCTATGAGACACTCTAAGCACAGCTGAAACCAATTAGATGCTAATCAATTTTACTCTGTCTGATGCAGAGTGGAAAAAATGTCCCAGAAGTCTCTCCACCCAAGATGTTCTTGGCCACAGGTCCCTTGCTGTGGGCCCTCCCACCTCTCTTAGTCATATACACTCAGGAAGGAGACCCCGCCAACTCCCTTCAGACCCCAGCAGAGAACAGTCCCGACCCAGTTCTCCCTTGAAGTAAAAGTGCATCTTAGAGGAGAAAAACAGCAAACTTAAGGCCTATCCACACCAAAACTTCGAGAGTATGAAGACTTGAGGAAACCCAGCCCTATCTGCTCTCTGAGGCCACCCCAGGAGCTTGTGTCCTCCCATGACTGCCCTCCAGCCCCACCCCTTCTGTGAGTAATGAGGACCAAAGCCTGCTTTCAAATCTGACAACTCAGAGTTTGATGTGCAGAGTCACTGTCCACTTTTGACTGAATCTAAAATTGAGCTAAAACCCAAAGCAACCTCTGGCATGTCTACAACGCACTAATTCACATCGCCAGGCTACCTGCATATATTTTTCAAACAGTCGCCGAGGAGTACAAGCCTCAAACTAAACATAACTTCACAAATGATTGCGACACCTTTCCACATTCTTAGCATTATCCTCACAGGGCCACCAGGGCTGACTGGCTATGAGTCACCACCCCTAATCTACAGTCAGGGAACTTGAAAGAGCCAGGTGCCCAAATGCTGGCAGTCATGGAGTGTTGAAGTAATCAGATCCTTAGCAACAAGGGTCCAGAGAAAATACTAGAATGTTATTCTTGCTGGAGGGAGGGTTCAGGAGTCTGTGATCACATGCAATAAAGGCCTTATGTGCAAACATGAAGACCTGAGTTGGACCCCCCCACACACACCCATAAAAATGTGGGTACTGGCTGGGGAGATGAATCAGTGCTTAAGAGCTCTGGTTGTTCTTCCACAGGACCTGGGTTCAATTCCCAGCATCCACATGGCAGCTCACAATTGTCTATAACTCTAATTCTAGAGGATCCAACACCTTCACACCAACACACTTGTAGGCAAAACACCAGTGCACATAAAATAAAAAGAAAAAAAATCATTAAAACAAAAAGCTGGGTATGGTGATGTGCACCTGCAGTCCCAGTGCTAGGAAATGGGAGACGGGAAGATTTCTGTGGCTTGCTGGCCAGACAGCCTAGACAAATTGGTGAGACCAAGACAATGTTTCAAAACAGCTCCAGAAGAACAACACCTGAGGTTGACCCCGGAGTCCATGTACACAACATATACACACATACACACTCAGTGACTCCCTCCTTCCTTCTCCCTCCCCTCCCCCCTCTCTCCCCATCCCTCTCCCTCTCCCCCTCCCCTCCCTCTCTCCCTCCCCCTACCACACACACACACACACACACACACACACACACACACACACAGTCCTGAATAGCATTGTAGTTCACCTCCCTGGTTCACATGAAATGTTTTCAGGATGGTAACAGAGTGATTTCTCCTCTTTTCTTCTCCAGTGGTTCAGTTGGTTCTAAATTATAGCAAAAATTTTTCGGTTGGGTAGAATTTGCATTATAAATAGCTAGAAACAACTCTAGTGTTTTAAAGCATTGATTTAAAAGCTTGTGTAAGAGTTGTCTACATTAGAGCAAATTATTCGCCTCCAAGATTATCAGTGTGTTGCTATAATCCTTTTTGAATATGCTTGTGAAACTCAGGTTGTCTATTGTTTTTCTCATAAACTAATATATTCTCAGAATTCTGTTTTTAATACAAACTGGTCTCTTTTTAGTAACCAATCCCAATTTTGTGTTTGTGCCATCTAAGTGTTTTCGTTACTAGTGTTTTTCAATCAGTTTAAAATGTACAAGTTATAATTACAGAAGAAACATCAGCCAACCAATCCTAAACATTTTAATACTAAAATAGTATGTAGAACTCAGACTTGGTGCAAGTTGATATAGGGAAAAAAGACCAAACTTATTTGCATCTCTATATGTATTTATTATTCAATGTCACATTAGTTAACATATCAGTAATGCCATTAAATAAAACAGTATAAATTCACCATCTTAAAGATAGAAATGGGCAGACTGGATTGAAAAACATAACCCATCTATATCTACAAAGATCTCACTCCATATATAATGACACAGACAGGTTGAGAGTGTAGTAGTAGAAGATAAATCATCCAAATGTGAAGTTTGTCTCCTTGGGTCTGTATTACCTCACTCAATCTGATCTTTCCTAGTTCCATCCATTCACCTGAAAGGTTAATGTTTTCATTTTTCTTTACAGCTGAATAGTATCCCATAGTATATATTACCACATCTTCGCCACCCATTTGTTAGTAACAGGTCACTTAGGTTGCTTATGTTTCCCAGCTGTTGTAAACAGAGCAACAGTAATCATGGTTGAACAAGTATCTATGGAGTAGGATCCGAAGCTCTTTGGGTGTATGCCAAGGAATGGTGTAGTTGGGTTTTATGGTAGAATTAT